CTTTTATAAAAATGGTTTCTAAATCATTCCCTTTAAGTTTCCTTTCGAGTTAATGAATTGATATTTTATTCTAAATAAGTTCATGCTTTTCTCTTTTAGAATCGTTCATAAAAAAAAATGACAAAATCTTTTTTTTTTTTTTTGCGATTTTTCAAAAAATACTCAAATATTTAATTAAATATTTAATAATTTCATTATTTATAAAAATAATCTAACGAAACTTTTTTTCCATATGTAGAATAGTATTCTCCGTAATCTGCTCAAAGATTGAAAAAATAGATTAAAAATTACGGCTTTTAAAATTTCTTTTGTGTTTTTCGTCTATTAGCCCTGAACTAGCATTCACCCCCTTCTCCTGATTCAACATCAGCTTTAACAAGCCTTTCCTTTTTTAGCTTCGCGATACATACTATGTTTTGTTTTTACGTTACCTAGAAGTTAAATTATAATCCATTTTATGAATTTAAAAAAAAATGGAAGTGAGTCTTTAATCTACCCGAAGTAGGCATTTAAATGGTTCAAAATCTGTCAAAAATTAGTTTAAGGAGAGTTTGTTGGATATACAGTTTTAAAATTTTTTTAAGGAAATAATACAATCTATTGTTTTAAAATTTGGTGGCAACACAACATTTCTTCCAATAGTTTAGCAATAAAAGATTGTGTTTACTAAATTTTCAATCGAATGGAATTTCTAAATCCAGTTTAAGAAGTGAGTTTTTAAATCATATTACATATGCTTTGGTGTAATTAATTCGATTGTTGTGAAAGTGTTATATAGTGCTTCATTAATTTGTATTTTAAGACTACTGTGGGCAGTAAAATTTTTTACAAACATGCCCAAAATTTTTACTGGCTCTATGTAACTTAGAACTAAAATCATATAAAAAAATTGGTGTGAAAAAATTGAGTAGTTTTTAAAAAATTTAAAAATTTAAAAACGTTCCATGCGTTTTGATTTTGTTTTAAATATCATATTTTCACCTGATTTAACTTCTTTAAGTAACTATTTACAAATGTATGCATGCAATGTAATGTTTTATATGATAATTTACAAAATATGGGTAAAAGCAAATTTTTATATAAACATTTCAAGAATTTTAATGATTTCCTATACATAAAAAACTTTAATTTCTTCTTTCTCCCTATCACTATTATTACAATGCATCCAATAATTTATAACTATACATTAGATGAATACTTCTGGAAAGTTTGTTTCGTTATAATTCGACAAAAATTGCAACGCAGGGAACATTTTGTACTTTCGTTTCGAGGCAAATTTTTGATTCTGAGAAAAACATCATTTTTCATTTTAAGGGAAATGAACTTATTTTTTTTTAAAAAAATTAAAGATATAAATAACTTGAATTTGAAAAATACTAATATCATACAAATATAAGATAGATGCAGAATATATATATACATATAAGATTCCGCAATATATTTATTATAACAGTCACATTTACACGTAATATATATAGTGATAAAAATTGAAGTAAGCAAGAACATTCTAATAATATCTAAAGTAAATTAGCAGAAAGTATTTCATTATTATTTCATCAACCAGATAGTATATTATGTATTTCATTAATCACAATGAGTAAAATAAAGTATTTCAATGGGATTAAATTACAAAAATTCAACATTTTTGAGGAACATTTTTAATTTTTAGAAAAACAGCTATTTTTATTTTAAAGGAAAATAACTTAGTTTTTTTAAAAACAATTCAAGACATAAATATAAATTTGGAAAAACACTAATATCAGCCAAAGAAGTTAACTTCGAACGCGTGTTCACACTGTTACACACTTTCTTTTCTTCTTTTTTTTTTATAAAAGGATTTAGGAATATCAACTGAGATACTAAATTCTCATTTGATAGCCGTCTTAGCCAAAAAATCAGTTCCTTAATTTCTAAAATTTTCAGCATGGTTACGAATAAAAGTCAACAGACAACTAGGATATGGGTATCAATATGAATTACGATTCTTTTGAATTTCTACAAGAATATTATTGTAAAACGAAGTATGTTACCACTTAATCAATGGAAAACGCATGCAGTCGTAATTCAACGAAATGGTTTCCTTTGAGAATTAATTAAGCATTCGCGAATTTACTTTTAAAAGATTTATAATACTAATAATACACACATGCTGTAATTTTATAAAAAACAAAGTCATATACTAAAACAAAACTTTTTATTCAATTTGTTAAAACTTGAGTTGAACAATAAAAACAATTATATGATTCACAGTATAACGTAAGAATAAGCACAACAAACTTTCACTAATCGGAACGTCGATCATCTGGAAAATCACTAAAAAAATTTGTAGTTAATAAACGCATAAATCAATGAAGATGAACCAGGACTGTAATATCCTAAGAATTGTTTTCAACAGAATACATGTCATGTAAGTAATATATTCAATTACGGTTTGCAAACCTACTTTGTTATGTTTTCAATCCCGTGATTTCAGGATTTCATTATCCAAATATATATCCGGGGATTAGTCCCGAGATTAGGATTGAACTATTTATGAAAAATACTTACACATTAGCATAGTTGAAATTGCATAATAAAACTGAAAACACACACACACTCATAATTAAAAAATTGGTTTAATATTATTATTTATTGAAACAAATCAAAACAAAACTTAATTCATCATAAAATAACAGTACATAATAAAATTTTCATTTCTTGTGTTTCTGTAAATAAGCTTTTAAAAACACAGCTCGTACAGCGTTTCATCGCTCAAACGGCTTCTTATTCAATTACTATTATTAGGTTACACTCTCTATTTATTTATTTATTTATCTTGGTGGAATTTTCAATCGTTAATAAAATACATTTTAAAGCGCTCAATTGAGCTGAGATTTTATATGCATGATTATTTTGGATGGCAAAATACAATAATTTAATTATAATTATTAAAAATTAATTGATTAAAACTAATTATTTAAAGAATTACAAATAGAGCCATGCTGGAGACTTAGCGACCATTTTGACGACTTGTGTCAAAACTTGAAAAGGTTTTTTTCTCACGTGCATTTAGTTGAACTGAAATTTTATATACATGATTGTTTTGGATGACAATACGATACTTTAATGATAATAAATAAAAATTAACCCTTGATGTTGGGATTCTGTCATATGTATATACATATTTATATTAATTTTAAACATTTAATAAAAAGTAGCTAAAATAAAGTTTTTCTTTGTTGATGGAAGTAGGAAATTTTTTTTTATATTACTTGTTTTTGTTACAAATTGTCATGCAGAAGAAAACTTAGACTCTTTACTAGTAGGCTTCATCGTCATTAAATAGGAGCATGCTCTTTCCATGTAGTCACAACATCTACCTCCATTTTCAAAGAGACATTTCTTTTTGAATTTTTGATGATAGTGCCTCAAATCTAATAGGCTTCATTTTTTTGGTGCATATCCCTCTTTGGTAACTTTATCTAGTTCTTCAGCTACACTTAATGGTTTTTATGTACAAATTGATTCAATTATTGAATCAGAATGTGTGAATCAATTTCAAGTGTTACCTCATTTGAAATAGGAGATCCAGTGAGTTGCATAATCTGTTAATAATGTAGTGAGATTTGAAGCCGCAAGTCTTTCAAGCTGGTGCACTATTAATTTACGTCATTTAATTGAAGAAGGAACCGTAGCAAAATCTATTCTTGATGTAAGTATAAGAATTTTCCACAGAAACGTGTTGACGGGCAAATATTTGCCTGTGTATCATGTGATTAAGACCTTATGCCACTTTTCTGTGAATTTAGTCCATTGTAAAATGAATATTAAATGCAAAAAATTAAAATACATCCAGTAGTATGCATAGGAGTTTAAAATTGTTCCGTTAGATTATTTTTTAAATATATTTATTAATACAAAATTCAATTACACACAAAAAAATTATACGTACATATTTCATAAAAAAAGATATAAATATTCTGAGAATAAAATTTTTAGAAAAAATTGATGAAGAAATATCAAAATATATATATAATTCAGACAAAAATTAAATCCCGGGATTAGTTATTTTAATCCCTGGATTTCGGGTTCTCGCGATCCTGGATCTACAAACCGTAATATAGAAAAGGGAAGCCAGATATATGTTGGCCAAGAGGGGATCCCAAATGAAGTAACTAGATTCTCCTTGTTTTTGAGGCACATAAAGCGTTATATATCTTGCTCTATGAAATCCAACCCTTCCAGACTCTATGTAGAGAAGGTTCCGGGGAAAAAAATGGAATTCCCTTTTGAATAAGTCGACAAGAAGTACTACCTTCTTAATAAGAGCAGTCATGCCACTGGTCATACTGGTTGCAGGATTACCTGTATTGTATGGGAATGACAAGATAAGATTTCTTTCCACTTTGTGACCATAGCATGTTCATGATGAGTGATCACCTCAATATATGCTCTACTGTTTTAAACTGTTTTTCCTTAGAGTGTTATTAATTGTGCGGTACTTATGTACTATCGCAGCCCATTGGCGACATTATATGAAACGAAGCATCTGGTTGCTAATTCAGCGCGTATGATGCATAGAAAATCGGGATTGCTAACTTGGCGAGTTATTAATAGAATTGGCAATTGTAAAACACCCATTGTGCTTTTGGTGACTTTTTTCTTTTATCGTTCAACATTGTATTGGGTTACTTGCCGACTTATGACAGAAAGGTTGGAAACGGGCATAAGATAAAACAAGTAGTATAAAAAAGGTTTTTAAGTCAATACCTACTTAGGTCAACAAAGAAAAATTTTATTTTAGTTACTTTTTATTAAATAGTTACAATCAGTATAAATATCTGCATACATATGACAAAATCACAATATTAAGTGACAAAGTAGAGAGTGATTTTCCTTTCAATTTTCCATTTTACTTTCTATATGGACTATTTTTTTGTTACTATTTATTCATTCATTAAATTTAATTATTCCAATAAAATGGTATAGTAAAAAAGAAATAACATTTTCAGAAATTAGGCCGTTTCTGGTGGGATTCAAACCCACGACCTTTGGATTAGAAGTCCAACGCGCTATCCATTGCGCTACAGGGACACAACGAACGATTTTCCTTTCCATATATGGTGTTGGACTATTATTTTTGTTTGTTATTATTAATTCATTTCTCAATTTAATTAATGAATTCATATTTGAAAAAAACTTTATTAACATCACGTGTCATCCACTACAAGTTTAAAAAAAATGTATTTGAACTTGAATGGAGGAGTAGAAAGTATATATTTCATTAACGATTGCAAATTTGAACAAGATATATATATATATATATATATATATATATATATATATATATATATATATATATATATATATATATATATATATATATATATATATATATATATATATATATATATATATATATATATATATATATATATAGGTAGAGTGGGAACTAATAGAAGAAGTTGAACAAAAGTATTGCTTTGAAAAAAATACATATAGTCACATGATCTCTCTCGTGAAATTATTCAACATCCTATTTTGTGTCTTACTTCAAAACACATGTTATTTTGTTTCTATACAATGTGTCTAGACATGTATCTAGACTTATTTTACGGGTTGAATTCATTTTTGATTTTAATCTCTACTTATGGTCTGGATTAAAACGAAGATCTATTGTGTGTATTTAATATTCAACATACAAATTTCTTTTTGAAGATCATAAGTTCAATTTTTTAACGTAGATTTAACTAAAAGGACTATTAAAATAACTTAAACCTGTTAATTACTGAGGATAATGTGATGCTTTTATTTTCAGAATGGAATGTTACAAAATTGCGGAATATTTTTCTAAAACATGATTTGTGTGCCGATGAATTTCCATAGCTTCAAATCATTCAAAGCATAATTTGTTGCGACCATGAGCGCTGTAGAAATATTGGAAAAACAAAATGCACCGTGTTAACGTAAAAAGAATGAACTTCGGCCAAAACGGCATTTTTATTACAGAATCACTTGTAAAAATATCTCCCGTAACAATGCCTTTTTTTGTGAGAAATTTCAGATAAAAAGAAGAAAAAAAGTAGTTTTAGTGTTTTTAAGTACTTTCTTTAATCAATAAAATACTAAGCAGGGATTTGTTAAGTAAAAGTATACTGTTTAGAAATTGTATTGTAATTCATTTGATTCTAGAATTTACATTCTCAACATTCCAGTATTATTAAATAGTTTCTTCCTGTATATTATTGTTAGAAAATACATCAAATTCAGAGAAATATAAACAGAAAAATGTCAGAGTTGGACAATATTTTTGTAATCGATAAACAATCTATACTGAGAACTTAGGACTAAAGGAATGACTCTTTCATTTGATATTATTTCATAAGAAAGTGGAAACATCTTAAAAATATCTATCGCAAGTTTCTTCTTTTTGAAGTGTGAGAACTGTTTAAAGTAATTTCCTTGATAACTTAATGAACATTTCACATTTAATTTAAATCTCTTGATTGCCTGAAACATTTTTATGAAACTATTTACAACTCATTGTTCATATAAAAAATTCATATCTCGTTTCACACATGAAAAATAATATATTATAGTGTATTTTAAGAAAATGATCCCTGGTTCCAGCACAGCACCAGTTTATATATTCAAAGTTCAAACGCAAGAGAGAAAATTCGTGGCACATTCATTTGTAAAAATTAAGCACCCAAATTTAAAATATCGCGGCACTACTTATTAAATAAAATGAAATGAAAAAGAAGTAGATATTCTCTTATATAAAACAGAATTCCTGTTTTATGCTGAGCTTTTTACATAATAAAATGGCAAATTTTAACTTTCATATAATTTTTCTATGTTCCTCCTTTATTATGAAGTTTTTTTTTCTTTTATATTTTTCTTATGTGTTTACTTTATTATATTTGCTTCTCGGTATTGTATTCTCTTTAGTATAATTTTATTTTCGAAATAGAATTAATTGTGGCTGCTTAAAACTTTCCAAATATTTGTTCATACACCAAACAGTTAAATCTAAGTAGCTAATATCTTTTCTCTCAATGGTCTAATAAAATTCTCGAAATGTTATAAAACAGACAAGTTTTGATTTTGTAAAAATTGAACCATATTGGACAAGTTTAAACAGTTTTTTTCCAGTTACAGTAAAAAATAATTTTTAAGTATTTTTTAGTATTGCATAGAAATGTGTGTGAATTGTAAGGTTACTAAAATTGTCGAATTCATGGAGAAGATAATTTCTGCTAATTTGTTAAAAGTTATATTCAAAGCAATTCATTTTAACTTTTACAAATATGATCTTTTCGTGGTTGGGATTCATATGATCACTAACAACTTACAAATATATAACTTTGAGTCTTTAGTGGGACTAAGATTCGAACCCATCCTTGGATAGAAATAACGCTGGTCACGAGTTCACGACCATGACCAAAAGGCTTCCGCGGCCATGACCCCTCAGTTACCGCGTCTTTTATCTAGCTTCGATGGAAATTACGGAAGTTAATCTCTTTTCTGGACAACAGTATATAAAAAAAAATTTAAATCATGATCAAGATGCTATTTTACTGTGCCAAAATTAGTACATTAGATTTAAAATTTTTTTAGTAATAGAAATTTACAATACAGGGTGATTCACAAATCCCTCCAGTGTTTCCGAGCGCTGCAGTAAAACAACTAAGATGAATGCAACAGAATAGAATATATGAAATAAAATACAGAAACAATTCAATTTTTTTTTACATATTTTACAAGTGTTCTAAATGTTAACCCTTCGTCACACGCCAGTGGCGTAATGGAGAATATTAGGACCCTTCTGCAAAGTCAGGTTTTGTACTCCCACCCGGATCCTACAAAGGGTAAGTACTTGGAGCCAGTCAGGTTTTGAACCCCCTAGAATCCTGCCACCCCCACGATTCGGGAGGGGGGTTGAGGGGGTGTACATTACGCCTTTGTCACACGGCATACATCAATGCGATAGGCCAGTTCCTGCCATGTATTCCTGAACATGATACTACTAACGTTATTGATAGATCATGTTATCCTTTCATGAAGTTCTGCTACATAAAGCGGCAGAAAGGGTACGAAAGCTTGGATTTTATGAAAAAGATGAGTTTTCGGATAACATAGATAAGATAAAAATGATAACACGTGCTGTCAATAACGTTGATAGTACTGATTTCAGTAGAGTATGGCAGGAATTGGACTATCGCATTGATGTATGCCAGGTGATCAAGGATTCACTCATCGAATGTAAAATACGTAAATAAAACTTGGATTGTTTCTATATTCTTTCGTATGTTCTTTCTTACCGTATTCGTCTTAGTTCTTTTGCTACAGTGCTATGAAAGCTTAGAACAAGAGTACTCAACCTTTCTGGCTGCTGGGCCGCATACAATGTCAGCTATTTCACGATGGCCGCAAATATATTTTAGCAATTTTACGCAGGCCACATCATGAGGATAAAGAGGGAGAGGGGGAGGGTTTAAAATGTGTAAAATTGATCAGAATATTTTAACTCTTGGTTTGCTTTTTTTATTTACTATTTTTTACATTTTTTATTTTTGTAACTAACACTGCATTAGAAGCATTTAATAAACACTCTTCTTCACAATTTATGCATCAGTAAACGGTTTCATATGAATACCAATAACATAACAAATTTCATAAGATGTCTTTGTTACCGCTGTGACATTACTACTGACAAAACACTTTGTTGCTGTTGCAAAGATTATTCAAGAAATCCTATTTATTACCTCTTGAAAGAGATCTTCGAGGAAAAGTGTCATTGAATGAATGATTCCTGTTTATTGGTATTTTTTAAATACAGCACTTTCGTGACAAATCAAACAATTACTGATCCAAAATTGATTTTCACCACCTCCCAATCGTTTTGAAACGATATATTATCTTCGAATATTTTTCGCATGCAAGATATGAAAGATAATTGAAAATTAGTTCCACCCATAAAACTGTCACTACTCCACAGCTGTCTGTTACCACTAACCGTAAATGTTACAAAAAATAAATAAATAAATTCGCACTCATACGACATCAAAGCAAAAAGCATAATTGGTATATTTGTTTTCTTGACATCAAATTTCTAATGTATTGTTCTTAAATAAGTTAATTTTTCAGAGCAATGGGCATTGACCGGCCACTTAAAAAGGCTTGGTGGGCCGCAGGTTGACTACCGCTGCCTTAGAGGGAATTACGACTAATTCTGTATCATAATGTTTAACATTTCTATGATGGTTATCATGAAACAATGCGTTTTTTCTCTAAACTCGAAGTTTAAAAGACTTCTTTGTGAATTTTTTTGTAATAATTCTTATGTGTTTCTTACGCTTGATCTTTGTGAAGTATAGTTATTCTAATTTTCAATATTTTCTTTGTATTTAAGCTCAGCTAGAGGTAGGGTTACACATTTTACAGGTAGATAACAAAGGTTGTAAATATAAAAAGTTTTTTGAGCAGGAGACAGAGCCTTAAGTCAACGAGAATAAACAACATCACATTTGTGTGTTATTTGAGTAGTCTCCATGATTGTTTTTGATAAAAACAGTGCCAAAATTAGGCTGTATTTGGAGTAAAACGTTATCTTGATGAAATATTTAGGCTGCTTTGCCCATAAATTATCTGGGAACTTAGCCAGCTAATAAGTTCAGCTTATTTCCATATCAAAACCAGAAGTAGCGCAACAGTAAAAAATAAGCTTGGCAATCTAATTAGATGTCGTGAAAGTAACTATTTTGAAAGAATAGCTAAAAGATAGTGGAACTCAAATTATAATAAATTAGGTATGAAGTGTTTTTTTAAAAATCAAAACAGTTAACAAATTTCCTGGAAATATTTTGCTGCAACGAAGTCGTGATTTGAATATAAATGGATATTTCTGAGTCATGTATTCCAGTATTATAAGGATAAAAAATAGAAATAGAGATATTTGAATGTATTATAACGAAAGGAATGTTTTAATATAAAATTTAGTTATTGTTGAAAACTAAGCCCAGAAAGTGAACAGCGCTATTTTGGCAAAGACTATATAAAAAAAAATTACGATGCATTAACTATTGGGAGCT